GCAGAATATGGAAACCGACAGTAATACATTAAAATAGAAAAAATATATAGTGGTAGAGAGATGAACTTACATCCTCATCTTCCTCGGACTCGTAATTAGGATCATGATGATCCTTGACTTTCAGATCTTCTTCATTCAGCACTTCACCAATAGCGCCCCAGGTCCCTTTTCCTCCTGCACCACCTGAGAAAAGAACTTTGACTAATCAGAATATGACATGCATTTCTTATCGTATTTTTTAACATGAAAACTCAGTAGTTGTAAGCAGAGCACTGAAAAAAATTTTTTTACAGCTGTCAATCAAAAATAATCAGTTATTACCTAATATATTTCTGACTGAAAGCGCAGTCAAAAACAATAATTGCACAACAACCCATTAAAGTGTCTGAGTTCGCAGAATATTGATAGTAGCTGTATTAGTGCTTACATTCCTATGCATTATCAATACTAGATCRATTCCAAGTTCTTTACTAAATAAAGGTTTTAATGTTTCCTTTGTAGCTTTCTCAATATGAATCAAGTTACCATAGTGATTATTAAGTTACTTTAGATTGAAGACAAAAATGTTATGCTAATGGCTATTAACAAGCCATGGTATATCTGAGTRTAGAATTATATTTCATTCTCATATCCTCCTTAATTCCATTGGGAGTTAAAAATTGTCTTATATAGTCTCTTTAAACATATGAAAAGTGTTTTTGGTAAACAAATGAAAACACTCAATGTTCMTTCAAAGACATTGCTGTTTTTAATTTTAGTTTATTTTTATTTATTTNAGATTGGCAGATCTTGCAAATGCAGCAGATTGTGGTTTTATCCATTTTTCTGTCCAGATTTMGATTTGGTTTGTCATAGAGTTCAGATCGCAGATTTAAAACCTTTGCTCACATGTGATGCCGAGCCCTGAAATTGAACTCGAAACCCAAGAAGTGAGAGGTGAGTGCAATACTGCTACACCACCCTGGATGGTAACTTTAATATTACTAATTGTATATTGATGGATCTTTTGCAGTTCTGTGGCGGATTTAGGGGGGTTCATTGGGTGCAAATGAACCCCCCCACCGACTGGTACCTTGGATTTTTATATTATTTTGAATAAATAAATAAAAGTATGGTACTAACTCATGAGATTTAATATGAAATAGGACCGGTGGATAGGTTATCCTTATCAAGAGCGCCCCTAGGCCAGTGATGTGCCTCATGGGAAAAATGATGATGCAAGAGAACGTTATTGTTGTGCCGAGA